AAATAACATCTGAGGGCTTGAAAGAACAAGCTCTTAAAAAAAAAAAAATAATTTTTTTTTTGTCCTTTTTCCCACTGATTGAAATTTTCTTTGTACTGTAAAGATGTTTTGATAAGTTGGTGCCAGCAAGCTCAGCCTTATCCCAGATCACTGAGATATTTAGTGAGGAGCAAGGTCTGAAAGGAATCAACAGAGGATGTTCCAGCCCTCCTCAGGTCTGCTCTGCCTCCAAAGGAAGTTTGGGTGGGAAAAGGACCCACCCCTCCCATGACGGTGCGGTCAGAGCTGAAGGGCGCCGTGACCTTGAATCCCGAACAAGTGAGTCTTTGTCTCACCTCCTGATGAAGCTTTGGGAGTTCCCTCTGTTTATTATTCATCTGATTGCCATCTTTTTTTAACGCTTTCATGCACCCCCTTCCTCCTGCCTGTGCCTGAGACCCCAATGTCCAGCCAGGTGAGGTCCCATCCCGCCAGTGGGATGTGCTGGTCCTGCAGCACCCCTGAGCTGGGAGCAGTGCCTCCCTTTGCCTGGAACCCTTTCCCATGTGCCATCCTATAGAGTATTAATCCCAATATTTCCAGGTGGGACATGCCTGGGCTCGTCTGGCCCTTGCTGCTGGACCAAAGGCTGCAGCTGTGGTGTTTCACCTCAGAGATACCTTTGGCTGGCTGGATGCTGCAGCTGGGCACTCAGAACAAATCCAGGCAAAGCAGGAACTCAGTTTACCTCTGGTGGAAAAGGTTCAGGCGACGGTGAAGAGAAAGGAGAGGATTCTATCGTAGAGTTTTAATCCAGAGTTTATTCCAGGATGACAGACCTCTGAACCTTGTAAAAGCTCCCAGTAGAACCCCGACCGCATGGTCCCGTCTCCTTTTCAGCCCGGGGACAGGGGCAGGGGAAGGGACAGGTGAGGGCCAACCAGGTGGGAGGAGGGGAAGGCTCAAGGGATATAGAATCACAGAATCACAGAATTTCTAGGTTGGAAGAGACCTTCAAGATCATCGAGTCCAACCCATGTTCTAACACCTCAGCTAGATCATGGCACCAAGTGCCACATCCAGTCTTTTTCTAAACACAGCAAGGGATGGTGACTCCACCACCTCCCTGTGTAGATGATTCCAGTATTTGACCACTCTTTCTGTGAAAAACTTCCTCCTTAATTCTAGCCTGTATTTCCCTTGGTGCAGCTTGAGACTGTTAGACTGATAGATGCTTGGACAGGCCAATGAGCCCAGACCTGAGGGGCACCTTTTGAACTTCTGCCAACCACAGGACGCCCTTGCTGGAATGTTAAGATTGATGGACAGCTCTTAGCAGGAGGGCAAAGGGGAAAGGAGAGGTTGGCACACCTGAGGGGTTGGGATAGGTGAAACAGGAAATGGCATCACACTGCAACACCATCCCCTTCCCCTTGGCTGCACCCAGCCCCTCTGGGCTGGAGCCCGCCCGGTGCAGTCCTCACACGCCGGGTCGGCTGCTGGGAGCGCTCCTGCCGCGCCGGGAATTGGATTGACACCTTCACGCCTGGCCATTAGAGGGAAAACGAGGGCTAGTACGTAAACACCTGGGAGGAAAAACAGCCCTTTGCCTTAATGATAGTTTGTCATGTCATATTTTTCTCAAATGGCGCAACGGGGGTAAGTGAACCCTTCATTTCCATGGCTTTAATTCGTATTTTGAATACCAGACCGCCTTAAACGCTGCCCGGTTTAACCCACCCGCTCTCGCTCGTTTTCCACACTCTGCTTCCCAAAGCAGGCACTTGGAAATTGCTCTCATCTGGCCTGATCCAGCTGGAAAATACCTTTTTGTCCTGCTTTATTTTCCCAGAGCTCTTACCCCCCAGTGCCAGCACTGCTGGGTTTGCATCAGGTGCATCCCTTCTGCAGGCTTCACTCCCTCGACAGCGACTGGAAATGAGATTTTTAAATTATTTTTTTTCCTGCTCTTCAGCCTTTTCCGGCACATCCCACTGCTCTGTAAATACTGGCTGAAGTGCAGCCGAGTGTGGGATGCTCGAGGTAGCACTCAAGGCAGCTGCACCACCACGGATGTGCAGGTGGCCTGAGTTCTTCCTGGTTTTTGGGGGTGCCTCTGGCTGAGGGAGAGGGTGGGAGAAGCAGCTTGGACAGTGGCAGGTTTGATTTTTAAATATACTGTGAAAGGAAGTAGCATCCTTAACTAAAGATCAACCTTTCCTTGTGTAATTAATTTTGACACAATAAGTCATGTACATAGAGCCAAGGATTTCTAATTCTTGAGGCTCAGAAGATGCCTTAGGAAGGTGAGGAACCCACTGTTCCCATGCCTCCACCAGAATCCAAGGATTATTTGAGGATGATCCCATAAATGTGCCTGGTATAGCTTTTTGAGTATCTTTGGGGTTGGCCAAACATCCACTGGTACACCAACCAAGCAGTGGAAAATGGTTTCTTGGGGGTCGTGTTGGACAAACATATGATACCCAAACCTGAAGCATTAGCTAAAGTCACCCAAACATTTATTTTAGGTTGACTAACTGGCAAGAGCTCATGGCAGCTCTGCAAAGTTCTCCAAGGTGGATTTTCATTCTTTTGGGTGACAGCTTGCATGCAACACCCTGACTGAACAACCTCTGCATCCTGCCAGGGTTTGCACTACAAGGTGGGTTTTCATTTTTGGGTGGCAGCTTGCATGTAGCACCCTGATGGAACAGCTTCTGCATCCCACCAGGGTTTGCACTACAAGGTGGATTTTTAATTTTGGAACGCAGCTTGCATGCAACACCCTGATGGAACAGCCCTGTATCCTGCCAGGGTTTCCACTGCAAGGTGGGTTTTCATTTTTGGGTGGCAGCTTGCATGTAGCACCCTGATGGAACAGCTTCTGCATCCTGCCAGGGTTTGCACTGCAAGGTGGGCTCTCATTTTTTTGGGTAGCAGCTTGCATGCAACACCGCAATGGAACAGCTTCTGCATCCCGCCACAGTTTGAAAATCCACAAGGTGGATTTTAATTTTTTTGGGTGACAGCTTGCATGCAACACCCTGACTGAACAACCTCTGCATCCCACCAGGGTTTGCACCGCAAGGTGGATTTTCATTTTTTTCAGGTGGCAGCTTGCATGCAACACCCCAATGGAACAGCCTTGTATCCTGCCAGGGTGGGTTTTCATTTTTTTGGGTAGCAGCTTGCATGCAACACCCCAATGGAACAGCCCTGTATCCTGCCAGGGTGGCAGGATTTCATGCAACACCCCAACTGAGCAGCAGGATTTTCATTTTTTTGGGTGGCAGCTTGCATGCAACACCCCAACTGAGCAGCCTCTGCACCCTGCCAAGGGTTTGCCCTCTCTCAGAAGGCTCGGGGCAGGCTGAGCCCTGGGATCCAGCCCGTGGCTGGAGCAGCTCGCCGAGCCCGGAGAGCTCCGGCGCCAAACGCGCGGCCGCGGCTGCAGCGGGCTGGCAGCGAGGCACAGGCTGTAATTACTGCCAGGGCGCCTTCCCCCCACTGCCCTAGCCCGAGGAGCTGAGCAGCTGCCAGCAATTAAAACTAGTTAGCAGTTCCCAGGATATTTTAACCATTTCTAGGCGGCTGTGGCAGCCCCTCCTTCCTCAGCGGAAAAGAGCGGCTCTGGTTGGCACTCTGATGGCACAGACACTGCTGAGCGTGTGGCTTTGCTGAGTTTGGGGGGCTCTCTCTCCCTCAAGAAAGCATTGCTAAGTCCTTTTGGCCTCCCCCACTTCCTCCACTGAGCCAGGATGGGGTTTAAACCCATTCTGAGGAGGGACTCAGTAGCTGGAAAATTGCAGCCCCGGCAAAGCTGGGAGGTTGTTTACAATTCTTTATAAGGACAGAGATTTGGGCATATCATGGAATGGTTTGGGTTGAAAAGGACCTTAAAGATCATTTAGTTGCAACGCCCTGCCATGGGCAGGGACACCTTCCACTGTCCCAGGCTGCTCCAAGCCCTGTCCAACCTGGCCTTGGGCACTGCCAGGGATCCAGGGGCAGCCACAGCTTCTCTGGGCACCCTGTGCCAGGGCCTGCCCACCCTCACAGGGAAAAAATTCCTTCTCACATCTCCTCTAAATCTCTCCTCTTTCAGCTGAACACCATTCCCTTGTCCTTGTACTATCTGCCCCAGTAAAAAGTCACTCTCCATCCTTTTTATTAGCCCCCCCTTAAACCCCAAAGGCCACATATCAAGAAGCAGTTGCAGGATACCTCCCTCAGAGTGTGAATTTCATCTTTTATTACTCGTGTGCGTCTGCATCTGTTATTTTTATGCTCCTGCAGGTACATCCTGCAGCCTGGATTTTAATGCCCATTTTTGGGGGGGGAGGTGAGAGGAGGGGTACGAGAAAGGTGGAGAGAGACTTTTAAAAAGAGTGTGTGGTAAAAGACAAAGGGGGATGGCTTCAAACTGAAACAGGGCAGGGTTAGATGGGGGTATTACAAATGAATTGTTCCCTATGAGGGAGGGAGGTGAGGCCCTGGCACAGGTTGCCCAGAAAAGCTGTGCCTGCCCTATCCCTGGAAGTGCCCAAGGCCGGGTTGGACGGGGCTTGGAGGAAGGAGATGATCTCGCAGTGCCTTCCAACCCAGCCCGTTCCCGGCGCTGTGCCAAGAGCGCAGCAGGACGCTGCTCTCACGCCTTACAGAATTTCCGCGGGGGGCTCGGGGGGGTCCCGGCTCCGCTGGCGTTGCGCGGCTCCCCCTGGTGCCCGCCAGCCCCGCTGCACAGCAGCTCCCACCCATCCATCCATCCACCCACCCACCCATCCCTCCATCCATCCATCCATCCATCCATCCCCCGGGATGCCGGCGCTGGCCCCGCGCATCCCGGGCTGGGCCGGGCGGGGCGCGGCTGAGCCGGGGCTCGGCTGCTGGCAGAGCCCGCCCCGGGCCCGCCCCGGCCCGCCCCGGCCCGCCCCGCCCGGCGCCGGGCAGCCCGGCAGTGTGGCGAGGCGGGCGGGCAGCGCTCCGCTCCCGGTGCCGCTGCCGATCCCGCTGCCGCCATGCCGCCGCCCTCCCTCCTCCTCCTCCTCCTCTCCTTCTTCCTCCCCGCGCTGCTGCTCCGCCGGGCGCTGGCCGCCGCAGGTAAGGGGAGGGAGGGGGGGGCACAACTTTGGGGGGCTGTGGGGTGGGCGGCATCCCCCCTAAAAAGTTCACTGCGGTTGAGGTGCCCGGCCTTGGGACGCCGAGTTGGTGTTTTTATTTCTTTATTTTTTTTGATATAAAGGTGGCGGGGTTGGCATGCTCTCGGGAAGGATGATGCGCTGGGTGGCAGCGCTCCCTGCTCCTCGGGGGATGCTCCGCGGGGATACGGGGCTGGCAGCGCTCCCCGCTCCGGGGGGGATGCTCCGGGGGATGCGAGCTGCCAGCGCCGCTCCCTGCCCGCCTCGCCGTGCCGCTTCCTTATATTTCTCTCTCTCTGTGTACATATATATATATTTATTTTTCTTGGCAAAAGCAAAACAAACCCAGCCCTGTTTGTAGTAGCGCCGGCTGTGATTCCCCGGCAGGTCAAAGAAGTAACTATTCAGCCTGGATTTTTTCATTTTATTTTTTTTTTTTACTGGTTATTATTATTATTATTAAATCTGCATTTTTATAAGCTGAGCGATTGATGGCCGGGCAGCCGAGTGGTCTTTTCCTATGGCTGTTCAAAGTTTCCTGTGCGCAGCCCAATCTTGTGATTGAGATGCACTTAAAATCCAGCCCTTCCGTTAGCAATCCCTGCCACAGACAAGAAACAGAGGCACGTCTCTCCTGCTGCCCTCTCTCGTTAGGACTCCTGCGATCAAACTCAGCCTTTCCTCCGTATATTCCCCCCCACATCCACTCCACAACTCCTGGACATCCTCAGCACTTTGTCCTTTGTCATCCTCCGACGGTGGCAGAGCACAGCCGCCCGCGTTTCTTCTCCGCGTGTAAAAAGATGTGCTCGAGTGTAGAGCTCAGAAGGGCAGCCCTGTAAAGTTTGATGGTTTTTTGGAGGCTGGCAGAGACCGTGAGCGTGTTGGGCAAGGTCGTTATCCCGGCGGGAATTCGGGATCTGTCGCTCCCCGCAGCTCCCGGCGAGGGTTTGAGGACGCGTCGCGAAGCACAGATCGTTCTTGTTAAGGAGTTGAAAGCGTCTCCTGACGAGCTGATTTTCTAGGAAAATGAACCAAGCCTTCTTTTCTGAAGCGTAATTAAGGTGACGAGGAATTTTTAGGGAGGGAGTCTAATTAGATTAATATTTTTTCCGCCTCCGCCGCACAAAGATCCAGTGTATTTCGGCAAATGGGGAACAGGAATGGCACTATTGATTTATCTAGGGGCCCGGACCTTGCTGCAGCAGCGTCCTCCAGCCAGAAGGAACTCTCTCCCTCGGTGGGAAGGGAGAGGTTTGAGAGCTGGCAGCTCCTGCTTGCCTGGGAGAGGTGCCGTGGGGATGGGCAGCGAGGGGCTCGGGGGCTCTGCACAGCACCGGGGCTTTGGGAAACCTGGATTAGCCAGGCTGGATTAACCAGGCTGGATTAACCAGGCTGGATTAGCCAGGCTGCTGTTGGTCAGGGTTTAGCCAAGCTTTCTGTGGATGCTGAGGGGAGTTGGGGGGGATATCACTGTGTTCGTGCCTGGCTCTGTCCTCTTGTTTTTGTGTGAGCCAAGTTCATGCAGGGGTTGAAATAAAACTGGGCAGGAGGAAGGGAGGGAATGAAGAAGGAAAAAAACAAGTTAAACCTGACCCACCTGGCTCAGTTTGAGTCTGGGGAGCTCTCTCAAGGCACTATGCTGCTAATCTGGCATATGTACGTGTGTGTATAATAAAGTTTTTAGCTGGAGAGCTATAATTAGTGTTTCTCCAGGAGAGTTGTGTAGTGGTGGCATGTGATGGTGCAGAGGAGGGAGCTGAGATGGGTGCTCAGCCTGGGTGATCATCCACTCCCTTCCCCATCCTTGCCTGGCTTTTAGGGAGAGGCAGAATTGTTTTCACCCAGAGTTGTTTTCACCCAGAACTGTTTTCACCCAGAAAACAATTTTCTCTTTCAATACCAAAGAATGCACATGCTGTTTGTGTCGGGTTTTGCAGTGTGTGGGGGTAGAAGTGTGGTTTTGGAAGGGGGTTTGAAACCCAGAAAGCATCTGGTCCACTCATCCATCCCCAGGAGCGCTGCTGGGTGGGGGAACCCAGCTCCCAGCGTGTCCCTTAGCCTGGGGCTTCATCCTGCTCCTCTGGGTAGGAAAACAATTTGGGGGGAGGATTTGGAGCTTGCTTGAAGGTCTTTCCCTGTGGGGCTGCACAGAGGGTGTAGGAAAACAATTTGGGGTGAGGATTTGGAGCTTGCTTGAAGGTCTTTCCCCATGGGGCTGCACAGAGGGTGTAGGAGGGCAGCTGAAATCCAGAGGGTGACGCTGGAGCTGGGGACTCGGCTGACAAAGGTGGTTTTGGACAGCTGTCATCCTGCTTAAGGAACATCCTTCCATCCTTCTGCCCTGCCAGCAGCAGGAAAACACCCAGGGCTGGGGGGTGGAGGGGGGATAGCAGCACTGCTGTCCCCCAGCAGCATGAGGACATGGGTGGCAGGAGGCTGCCTGCCTGCTGCTGCCAGCCTGAGCAGATGGCTGGGGAAAAAATGCTCCTGGACCTGTTGCCTATCAAATCCTGCCCTTTGGAGGTGGAGGCTTGAGGACAGGGGTGTGTAGAAGGATCTGCTTGGGTTTTTTTTTGTCTCCTTCTCCAGCTGCTTTGTTGTGGAGCCCTCTCTCTCTCTCAGAAGCTGGTGCTCTCTGTGCCTGGTAGCAGCAGAGGGAAATACTGAAACAACAACAAAAAAATGAGTGAAATGGAAAAAGACTGCTTTGGAGGGGGCAGAATCACTTGGAAATGGTAGTTGTAGGGGGCAGGGAGGAAATCCAGCTTGCATTTACTCTGCTTAGAAAGAAAAAGCTGACCCTGTAAGGAGCTTGGAGGGTTCAGCTGTGTCCTTCATCTCTGTATGGTCCCCTGGGTCCCTGGGGTGCTGGTTCCCTTTCCATCCCTGTCCTAGTCCAATAGGAATGATATATATATATATATATAAATATGTAAAAACCAGATCTGTATTTTGGGTCAGTTAAGTGAGCCAAGATGCTGCAAGGAGCTCTGCTTCCCTTCCATTTCCAGCAGTGGCATTCCCATGGCTTTCTCCCTCCCATTGGCATAATCCTGGCAGCCCTGTGGGGTTTTGGGAGAGTCCTGAGCTGGGCTTTGCTGGGCAAAGCCAGGCTGGCAGGCCAGTGCCAGGCCAGGAATGCTGTGAGGTGAGGACAGAGGGGCTGTGTGGAGTCTGAGGAGTTCATTATAGCAGATGTTGGTGCCATAAAGCCACAGGTCCCTGCTGTTTCCTATTCATTTATATCTTCCCAGCTTTAGCAATGCTAATGTGAGTGAAAACATTTCCTGGGGGGGCTGGGGGGGGGGGGGGGGGAGATAGGGAGATAAATCATCAGCCCATTCCCTCTGCCCCCTTCCTGCCATCCCACCCGTGGGAAGGGGGGATTAACAGGGGTGCAAGGGATGCCTGAGCTGCTCAGTGGCTGCCATCAGCTCCTCCGTGGCAGTTGGAGGCCCACTGGCTTCAATTTTTTCCAAATTACAGCTTTGCAGATTATGGAAAACCAATTTTATGGTTTTCCATAATCTGCAAAGCTGTAATTTGCTGTAATCAGTTGTATTGTGCAAGCCACCCCTGCCTGTGAGTCAGAGCACGGTGGCACCGAGCTGACACAGCCCTGGCCTTTGGGATGCTGGGCTCTGTGCAGGGGATCTGGGTCTGCTGAACACTTCCAGGAGTCTTAACCCTCCTGAAAGTGCTCAAGGCCAGGTGGGATTGGGTCCTGGTCCAGTGCAAAGTGTCCCTGCCCTTGGCAGTGAGGCTGGAATGAGATGAACTTTAAGGTCCCTCCAACCCAAACCAGTCTGTGACTCACTTCTGTTCACCTTGGGCTGAGGGGAGCCTGGCTGATCCTTCCCTGGCTCTGCCAGAGCTCAGGACCTTAGGGAAGCATTGTGTGAGCTGTATCTCCAAAAAGCAGAACCCTTGTGGTGTCCCAGAATCAGTGAACCAGCATCTTCTGAGTGATGTCTCCCCTCGCACTAGGCTGGAACAAATCCTGTGTGACCTGCACTAGGGCTGGGAATTCATCCTGGGCTGAGGGGAGCCTGGGTGATCCTTCCCTGGCTGTGCCAGAGCCTTAAAGAAGCATTGTGTGGGCTGTGTCTCCAGAAAGCAGAGCCCTTGTGGTGAACCAGCAGCTTTTGAGTGATGTCTCCCTTCACATTAGGCTGGAGAAAATCCTGTGTGACCTGCACTGGGGCTGGGAATTCACCTTGGGCTGAAAGGAGCCTGGGTGATCCTTCCCTGGCTCTGCCAGAGCTTAAAGAAGCATTTTGTGAGCTGTATCTCCCAAAAGCAGAGCCATTGTGGTTAACCAGAGACTTCTGAGTGATGTCTCCCCTCAGACTAGGCCAGAGAAAATCCTGTGTGACCTGCACTGGGGCTGGGAATTACCTTGGGCTGAAAGGAGCCTGGGTGATCCTTCCCTGGCTCTGCCAGAGATCAGGGCCTTAAGGAAATGTTGTGTGAGCTGTATCTCCAAAAAGCAGAGCCCTTGTGGTGCCCCAGAATCAGTGAACCAGCAGCTTCCAAGTGATGTCTCCCCTCACATTAGGCCGGAGAAAATCCTGTGTGACCTGCACTGGGGCTGGGAATTCACCTTGGGCTGAGGGGAGCCTGGGTGATCCTTCCCTGGCTCTGCCAGAGCTTAAAGAAGCATTTTGTGAGCTGTATCTCCCAAAAGCAGAGTCTTTGTGGTTAACCAGAGACTTCTGAGTGATGTCTCCCCTCAGACTAGGCCAGAGCAAATCCTGTGACCTGCACTAGGGCTGGGAATTGAGCAGCTCTGGATTGGGAGAGGCAGAAAAAACCCAGAGAAAAGCCCAGAAAGCTGCTCTGATGTCTGATTTCACAGCAGACATTCATTAAACAAATAAGAATTTAGCCATCAATCCCCAGCAGAGAGGGGCTGAAACAGGAGGAGAGAAGACACTGAGGCCTCCACAGATGCTCCAG